GCAAGGAGATTGACGAGTTACAAGCAGAAAACACTCGCCTCCAGCAAACTCTATTAGACGAGAGAATTGCCCATGATACAGCTTCAGAAGCTTGGCATGTGGAGAGGGATGAGCTATTGTCGAAACTCGTCGACGCTCAAGTGGGTAATGTGTCTAATGGCACACCCAAGCATGATAGTAACAGTCAATTGAAAATACTTCAAGAGGAATTAGAGGCACAATGGGAACGCACTGAAAAGGCTGAAGAAACTATCAAGTCTCTCCACCAGGAAAACAATACCCTCAAAGGAACCCTTCGCTCCCTCCAAGAAAAACTCGGAGACGATGACGTAAACAACTTCCTGGAGCTCGAGCAGGCCCATCAAGAATTGGTAAACCAACTCAACGATATTCTAGCCAGTCAACAGGCCTTAGAGGAGGAACGAGATCAGGTGGGTCTCAGCGTATACTTCATCTTCCTTTCATCTAACTCAACCGCCCTAGATTTCCACTGAACTCCGGGTATCACGACAACACGTCGAGGATTTGATGCAATCACATTCGGACCTTCAACGGAAATTAGAACAGACAGAACAAGAACACGGATTTGCAACAGAAAATATAGAACGCCTACGGCAGACTCTGATGACCCGGGACCAAGAAGCGGACAGGTTCGAGGCTGATCGACAGCAAGATTTAGCGCAAGCAGAAGCCTTACGCACCAAGCTCTCATCAGCCGAAAAGGAATATTCCCGGCAGATATCTGATTGCAAAAGGCACATCGAAGAACTCGAGACACAACTGCGTATCAATGCCGAGCAGTCCACTAATATCCTACACGAGACAGCAGAACAGACGGTATACATGGCCACCTTGGAGGAAAAGGCTAAATCTCGATTTGAAGAAAACGAACGCCTTCGTCGAAGGGTGCATGATTTGGAACAAGAGAGCGCAGCAAAAGAAGTCAAGCTAGTAGAGACCCAGAAGGAGAGCGATAGGATCAAGGAAGATAACATCAACCTAAATATTGCGTTGGATGCCAAGCAACAAGAACTTGAGTTGGTATGTTACCATTGTTAGAGTTTTATGCTGTAGCTAACCGTGTTGCCCGGTATAGATGAAGAGAAGAGAAGGAACCCGAGGTACCGCAGGAACGACCCCTGCACCTTCACGAGACAAGAAGCAACCCCGCGAGTCATCCATCTTTGGAGTCACACCACGTCCCTTGTCGAACTATAACAAGAATTTTGCGGAGACCCCTGCCACCGTGACCAAGCAAATGCACACAAACTCTATACTAAGCTCGTCTGCAGTGAAGATTCCACGGGACCTCAAATTCGGTCCCCCGAGTATGGTAGCAGGTCCTCGCCCCTCAATTACGAGTCCTTCACCTATCATGTTTCCGGGACCAGTCTCTGCCAGCTCGATACGGGTTAATGCAGGTTCAAGACGAAGCCAGACCACGTTAGCTACGTCCACACGTGGATTACCGCGGATGGGAGATCATTCGGATCATACCGATAATGACGATGATGAAAAGGAAAATTGGCTACCCTCACGATCCAACAGACGATCAAATGCAATGGTACCTTCATAACGACACAGGCTTCATCTGTCGGAGAACACTCTTGACGATGGCCACCTTTCGTTACGCACCTCCATTAGTATTGTGATCTGTCTTCGTGAGGTAATTGGTATGGCTATCTTCTACCGCCTATTTCCTCACTCTATCGCCTATTCTGGTCTCCCGGCCACCACGAGCTCCAATCGACTCTCCCACCTCTTGTTTGTCGCATCCCCTGATTTATCAATATCACTCACTGGTATTTCACCTTGTATCAGCCCAAACTCTTTGTTACTATCTGTATCACTGAATCTATCAATTGTCAATGGCTCCCGACTTTTCCCAGTTATCTTCCTTTTCCGGTTTTTTTCTTCTTTGTTTCATTGTTATATACTTTCCGGTCTGATTTATAGAGATTACAATCACATCCGTTGCGTAAGCTTGAGGTGTAGTTATGGCGAAAGCCGGATGTCGGGGTTTACGAGCGGAATCTCTCCACTTACCCCTGCCGCAGTGAATGATAGTATTTTCCTATCAAAAGACACGTATTTTGCCCTTTATTATTGGGAGCATACATGGCTACTTATAACGGTCGAGGACCACGGCAATGTCTTTGATCCTTCATAGTGAAGAAATATTTGGTGGAACCTCTGAGTAATTTAACCTCTACGAAAGAGACAATTGTTTCTAACTCTCGAATGTTCAAATCTGATATTTTTATACAAATTAAATTATTGCCTACTATCGAAACATAATTACACGACAACTTGCTACTCTCAATCCCCGTCATCGACTGCATATTGAGTAGTTACAGCACGTTCCCCAGTTGATGCCAGTCAGGTATCCTGGAAGTTACCTGTATAATGATAGAACAGAAGACACGATAATTGAGGTATGACTCAAGGAGACCATGTAAACAGTAAGAACCGTTCCTGTTCATAATGCTTGACCAGCTTCATTTTGCCCAGTATCGCTGCCCTTGTTTGCGGCAAGAGAGAATCGTGTGACCCAAATGAGAAATGGTCCAGCGGCTTCGCGCCAATGCAGGTGCGCCCTCCCTCCATTGTAACGCACCTACTCTGAAAGAGCCGTTCGAAGTCATTGGCAAACATTGTAGATGCAGTGCTTCTGCTACAGTCGACAGCGAGGCGTAATAAGACTGGAAATGCTAAGGGTTCTTGAACCTCATCCATGGCCGAAAGAAGATCAACGAATTGCTGGCACATCTTGTTGATGGTCAAAGTGTGGAGCAATGGCGTTTGCTTAAAAAATGACTGTGATATGGGCTGAGACAATGGATCAAAGTCGCCGTATAGGAACATCTCTCGAATGGTGGTCATTTCTTCGAGAAAATTACCCAAGTAGGTCGATGTATCTTTGCCCTCTGAGACAAGCGCGAATTTGGTCAGATTTGGAGCAATTATGCGACCCGCGGAAAAGGAAGTCGAGAAGGAATGTCGGAGAGCCATGAAATTAGTCGTGATGGACGTTAAGTATGGCATCTCTACCACATCCATGGTTTCGGCTGTTAAGCTGTCATTTTGAAAATAAATTAGATGGACTAGATTAGGGGCCATCGCCAAATACTGTGGTAGTGATACTGTTTATCTGATCAATTTTTGCCCGTGATACATCAAATAAAAAAGATTGGGGCTCACCAAAGCTTGTATCAACATTTTCGGGGCTATGAACAATTAGTTGCGACAAAGTGGGAAGGCTGAAGCCCACATCGTGGAGAGAAAGGTTTAGGGATACATGTATCAAGGTTAATTTGCGAAGGTTCGACATAGATGAAAGATAATTCGTCAAACTAAACTCTAGATTGGTTGAAAGAACAATGTGATCATTCCTCAGCAAGAGTTCCTTGAGTCGACCCAATTTTTTGGTGCCTAATCTAGAAAGAAGGGGAAGAGCTCGGAAATGGATCAATTGAATTTCCAAAGTACCTATATTGTTGACGATGTCGAGTAGAGGAGTGACCTCGCTTTCGTCATCACTATCCATGGTTGCATAGTTGGAGAAGAATGAGGGTTGTAGCTGATATATTACTACGTCAAGTGGCACGGCTTTTGCATAATATGCAAAATGCGCTAGTTTTGATGTATCCAGGCTACTTCTACGCGATAGGTTCAAACGGACTGTGTACCATAGTTCTGGAGTAGCATGAGCAAGTGCCCTCCATGCTTTACATACTTGCGAGATGACAAGAGCGATATGCCGACGTTTGTAACGAGGAGAATGGATTGTGTTATCTGATATAAGGGAATGTTCTTGATCTTGCTCTGCTTTTACTGCAGCAAGAAAGATGAGACTGAGTATATCATTCGGGTACCGCCGAATGGGATGTAAAAGCGATCGTATTTGATCTATTGCTGGCTGCATGGATTCTTTTGCTCGAACAAGCGAGTTTAGGAACTGTTTTCCTGTCAAGTAAGAGGCTTCTGATGACTCGTACGAGGCCCTGATGCGTCGATATGATGGTTCCAAGTCCGCCACTGAGGTAGAAGCCTGGTCAATCATTCGATCAAGGTGAGCCAATAATTCGCGTTTCGAATATAGTATCTGTCTGAGGGTAGTAGCCTCTTCCGGAAAGGGAGCACGGTTACTGTTGAACGTGCCGTCCCCTGACGAAAGCGCTGCATGGAACGGCGTAGCCCGTCCAGGTGAAATGACTCTGACAGGGACTGGTGTTGTTTCTCGGAAAACCTGGGGTAAATTGGAAGCGATGGGACCAGTGCTTTGCATCGTTGGCCACGAACTATAACTTTGTGTGGGCATTTGCAAGAGGGGTCTGTGTATCAGGTAGTTCACACCTTTGTCAAATGGAAGTTTAGGGAATTGTTAGTGTACCCACGGCGTGTTCTGATCCATCTGATCGCTTTGTTCGCTGCTCACAGTCGCCAGAAATAATATGGCAGAGACTAAAAGGCGCCTTGATCTGAGAACGCCACTCAGATTTTATGGTTATGCCTAACTTGGCCAACAGCAAAATGACACGGTATAGAGACGACGCTTTAATATCACTGATATAATAACAATATTCAAAGATAGAAGGGAATGCCATACACTATAGGAGCTGCTCCTGTTAAGTATTTGAGCTTGCAAGCGTCTCTCGATTCGCTCACAGCTGTAACCACAGAGACACTATGAGCTACTTCATTGGTTATGTATCGTTTTACTTTTTCAGGCTTCAATTCCAGTTTATTGAAGACAGCCTGTGCAAATTTGTCGATGTCTCTATCTGTAACATCCCACAGGTTTGCCACAATCAGCGGACTGGAGGTACTAATGAGTCTATTAATCAGCTATTAGAAGTGACCTACCATCCGCCGAGGAGATAGTTATATGGCGTTCCCAAGCGATCGAATCGACCCGCCTCTTCCATGGCACCCGATGAACAACCCCACAACATGACTGAGGAGCACTTGACAAGAGAGCGAATCTTACTGCCTCTTATATATTGCTCCGCGCCTCCATGGCCAAAGTAACTACAATCGGTTAGACATGTGGTCATGACAATTCGTACACCTACATAAAGAGATCAGCAGTGCTGAGTGCGTTGCTAAGTTCAAATTCCGTTGGCTTTCTTCCTATGAGGCCATTCCAACCCACATCTTTCATTTGCTTGAGCCATGGTGTGAAAGTATCCTCGGTCCTTTTCAAGTCCCCATCAGGGTTAAGGACGTAATAGACCTTTTTAGGGTTTAGCGGCGTCCGTGCACTTTGCAGAGGTTTCTGTAGGGGTTTCTGATTGGATTGTTGTAGAGTCGCCAATTTAAGACGATCGATCAGGAAAGAAAGTGAAGGAATACGGCTGGTAGAACGCTTGCGAAGGCTCGGCAGACTTTCCCAAGGGAGCTCTTGGACAACCTTATCCAAAACCAAGAAGACGTGCTCGTCCTTGTCACTACGCTTGCAACCACTCAGCAAAGGGGCCAACTCTATACATAAGTTGCGAAATTTTGCCACTATCTAAATAATACCATTAGATTCCATATCTATGCAGTCTATTTCGTACCTTTTGAACATCTATTTTCTCGCCGTCAACATGATGGCCCCTCAAAGAGTAAATATCCATAATAACGTAGACAAGATCCTCAAGGTCTTCGGTCTTACAATCAGGAGACAACGAAACAAAGCATTCCAGCACTGTCCTTCCAAGTGAGGGGGGTTTGGACGAGTTGGTTCGTACTATCGCAGAGACGATAGCTCGCAGTTTCTCATCAATC